CAGTTGCCTTCTGTTTCTCTCTCGAGCTCTGCCTATATATTTTGTCTTCTTCTGTTGTTCTCTCATCATTTCCACTGAGCTCTTAGTCTTTGCTTTGTGTTTCCATTTCATAGAAGTGGTTACTTCAGGCCGGGCACGGTGGCTCAAGCCTGTAATCCCAGCACTTTGGGAGGCTGAGGCAGGGGGATCACTTGAGGTCAGGAGTTTGAGATCAACCTGGCCAACATGGTGAAACCTTATCTGTCAACTGGGCATGGGGCCGGACGCCTTTAATCCCAGCTACTTGGAAGGCTGAGGCGGGAGAATCACTTGAACACGGGAGGCAGAGGTTGCAGTGAGCCAAGATCATGCCACTGCACTCCAGCCTGGGCAACAGAGCAAGACTCCGTCTCAAAAAAAAAAAAAAAAAAAAAGAAGTGGTGACTTCATTAAGGTTTTAAATTCATGGTACGGTGTTCATCTGCGTAGTAAAAGCACTTCTGGTGTGTCTCGTTCCGCCTTTTGTCTTTTAGCATCTTTAAATAGATCCTGTTTTGGATCTTTTCTGAGTATTCATCTTTGATTGGATTGACTTTATTCTGGATCCCTTATTTGTACTTGGTTCTTACTGTAGCCTGGACTATTTACCGGGTTTGGAGAAATTTTCCAAATGACTCAGTGTCCTGCGTTTGAAATTTGTTGGCCATTACCTCATTCCTGTCAGTGCGGATAGACCACTTAAAATGGCAAAGCCTCTCTTCCCTAGGTCCCCCGCACGCAATTCCCCATAGATGGGACTTTTCTGTGTCTGTGTGATTCCTGGTTTAACCCTAGATCCTTTGCTTTTTAACCCTTGGAACTGTTCCAAATGCTGCTCCGCTGCCAGCTCCATTCCCGCTGTTACACGAAGATTCTGGTTTTCTCTGTCAGTTTGTGCTCCTCATTTTGGAGCATTATACTTCATTACTGGGTTTTATCCCCAGAGTTATAGCCCCAGAAATTCTCTCTTCAGGCGGGGGAGGGTGGCTCATGTCTGTAATCCTAGCACTTTGGGAGGCTGAGGCAGGAGGATCGTCTGAGCCCCAGGAGTTGAAGACCAGCCTGAGCAACATAGTGAGAACATAGTGAGACTCTATCTCTTTTTTTAAAAAAAAAAGGAAAAAAAGAAAGCAATCTTTCCTTCATTGGCTCCTGAGTCTCTGGTTATCCCTACCTTTGGCAATTCTTCTGTCCTGTGGTTTGAGATTTCAGATGTCTCCTAATTTTGTGAAAGGAGGAGACTATATTTCTCTTTTTTGTTTTCTTTACTGTTCTGAGAGGAGAAGGAGAAAATACCACACTGGCAGTCTCTGCCTACGATACCCTTGTCCTCCAAATAAGCCAGTCATACAAGGACCTATCTGAACACTGGAGGATAATCACAAGTCCATTTATCATTTAACCCCCATATTTTCTGTAGATGTCAGATCACTGGATTGGGGCTCTATCCTTGGAGTTGCCTTTCAGACTGTTAACAAAAAAAAAAAAAAAAAAAGCTAATCTGTGGGAGAAGTACACAATTGGGTATCCCTCACCCAAAATCCATAATAAGCCAAAATCTGAAACTGTTTGAGCACTGACATGACACTCAAAGGAAATGTTCATTGAAGCATTTCTGCTTTTTGGATTGGGAATGCTGAGTCAGTAAGTATATAATTCCAAAATCTGAAATGCTTCTCATCCAGAACGGTTTAGATAAGGTATACTCAACCTGTAATATGGTGATTAAGAGAACAGACTAGGGAGCACTTTCTGAATGACCTGACTCCCTTTGACTGTTTTTGGTATGTGTAAGTGAGTCACTATGAACCTGTCAATGTTAAATATTCAAACTGGATTTTTTTTGTTGTCGTTTGTTTTTGTTTTGGAGACAGCGTCTCACTCTGTCACTCAGGCTGAATCACAACTTGATGCCCATCTATAGTCCCAGGTACTCAGGAGTCTGAGGTGGGAGGATACCTTGAACCCCAGAGGTCAAGGTTGCAATGGCGCGATCACAGCTCACTGCAACCTTAACCTCTGGGCTTCAAGCTATCCTCCCGCCTCAGCCTCCTGAGTACCTGGGACTGTAGGTGTATGCCAAGATGCCTGGTTAATTGTTTTATTTTTCGTAGAGACTGGGCCTTGCCATGTTGCTCAGGCTGGTCACAAATTTCTGGGCTCAAGCAGTCCTCCTGCCTCAGCTCCCAAAGTGCTAGGGCTGTGTGATTCTCTGCTCCCAGCCTCAAAATGTTTTAGTCAAAGTCTCTTTCTTTTGCTCCCGGTGCCCCAAATTGGGCTAGTGAGAACCCCTTTGAACTGGCTCAGATGTCTTTTTTTTGAGACCCTCTCATCTGTTGCCCAGGCTGGAGTGCAGTGGCACAGTCTCAGCTCACTATCACCTCTGCCTCCTGGGCTCTCAAGTGATCCTCCTGCTACGGCCTCCCAAGTAGCTGAGACTACAGGTGTGTGCTACCACGCCCAGCTAATTTTTATATTTTTAGTAGAGGTGGAATTTCGCCATGTTGTCCAGGTCAGTCTTGAGCTCTTGGACTTAAGCAATCTGCCTGCCTTGGCCTCCCAAAGTGCTGGGATTACAAGCATGAGCCACTGTACTGGGCCTGGCCCAAGTTTCCTTTTGATGACTCCCGTTAACCTTTGAGTACTTTATTCTTTTTGATACATGATGTATCAGGCTTTCTCCTGTTTTGTTTTTTTTTTTTTTCAAGTTTTCAAATCAGTCATTTCTCCTTGGTTCTTTTTAGTGGAGAGTAGTATTTGTAACCCAAGTTCTGGGTGTTAAAAGTGTTCATTGTTTCTGGTGTGTCATTGCTTTTGGGCTCTTTCTGGCGACAGAGGTACTCAGTATAGTAAAGATAGTCATGTTTTCCTGCTGATATTTTCCTCTTTACTTGTTTATTTTATTTATTTTTTTGAGACAAACTCTTGCTTTGTCACCCAGGCTAGAGTGCAGTGGTACAATCTCAGCTCACTGCAACCTCTGCCTCCCAGGTTCAAGCGATTCTTCTCCCTCAGCCTCTGGAGTAGTTGGGACTATAGACATGTACCACTGCACCTGGTTAATTTTGTATTTTTAGTAGAGATGGGGTTTTAGCATGTTGGCCAGGCTGGTCTCGAACTCGATCCACCTACCTCAGCCTCCCATAATGCTGGGATTACGGACCTGAGCGACCATATGTTTTAAAATCTTACGTTAATTAAAAATTTTTGGCTGGGCACGTTGGTTCACACCTGTAATCCCAGCACCACTGACGCGGGTGGATCACGAGGTCAAGAGATCAAGACCATCTTGGCCAACGTGGTGAAACCCTGTCTCTACTAAAAATAGAAAAATTAGCCAGGTGTGGTGGCACGCTCCTGTAGTCCCTGCTACTCGGGAGGCTGAGGCAGGAGAATTGCCTCTACCTGGGAGGCAGAGGTTGCAGTTAGTTGAGATAATGCCACTGCACTCCAACCTAGCAACAGAGTGAGACTCCGTCTCAAGAAAACAATTTTTTTTTTCACTCCTTCACTGGTAATGGACACATATTGGTATTTACAGATGAAATTTAACATTAGAGTTGTTTTTTGGTGTTTGGTTTTTGGTTTTTTTTTTTGCTTTCTAAGGTTTTATACTCATTCATTACTTAATGATGGGGTTACAGTCTGAGAAATGAATGGGCAGTTTTGACACGCAAACATCGTAAGAGTATGCTTACACAAACTAGATGGTGTCGCCTGCTACACACCAAGGCTATGGTGCTCTAACTATTGCTCTTAGTTTGTAAACCTATACAGCCTGTGACTGTACTGAATACTGTAGGCAGTTGTAACACTATGGTATTTGTATATCTAAATACAGAAAAGGTACAGTAAAAATACAGTGGAAAAGATTTTAAAAAGGGGCACCTGTATCACTTGTCCATCTGACATAAATTAGCCTCTTACTTTTTGTAGATTACTACTAACAATAAGAATACTGAGTAACTAACTTCACGGTTCTTTTTGTCCTCCAGCTAGATCCCACTAACCAGAGTGGCAATGGGTTTGAATGTCACTTGAAGTGATTCTTTTTATTTTATTTTATTGGAGACAGAGTCTCACTCTGTCACCCAGGCTGGAGTGCAGTGGTGTGATCACAGCTCACTTTAGCCTTGGCTTAAGCGGTCCTCGGTGTGAGCTGCCGCCTGTGGCCTCCCCTCTGATTTGAATATCCAGCTTGGTTATGTTGTCAAATTTTCTTGCCAGTGTTGCCATTTCAGTAGCTTGCTACCAATTAATTTGGCATCCTCTGTTTATTTCCCTTCCAATCCTGAGGCAGTCATAACTGTAACATTTTATCATTTTAGGAATGTTCCTACATTTGCTAAGGAATGATGTAAAATTGGGGGGAAGGTCCTTGCTTCAAAAGTCATAGTTTAAGCTGCTGTTAATCAAAGTTGTCTCTGATATTTCTTCAGGAAATTTGTCAAAAACTTATAGCCTGTAAATTTATAGTATATTTTCAGATCTATCCACAGTTAAGTGCAATTATTTTGTTTTTAATTTTTTATGTAGACAAGGTCTTACTCTGTGCCCCAGGCTGGAGTGCAGTGGTGCAGTCATCGCTCACTGTAACCTTGACTTCCTGGGCACAAGCTGTCCTCCAGCCTTGGCGCCCCCCGAAAGCACTGTGTCTACAGGTGTGAGCCACCACACCTGACCTGAAGTGCAGTTATTATGATGATATTAACTCAAGTCCGTTTTGGAGTGTTGATTAACTATATTAAGGATACTGAGAACAACTAAGGGTTAATTTCTTCAGTTTGTGGTACAAATTGATGGCTTTTAAAACGAGACAAACTCAGTGCGCCTTTTGCCTCGTTGGTGTGATTAAAGACCAAGTATTGGTTTAACTCTGAACTTCGTAGACCTATGAAAAAGCATGACTTGCAGGACTGTAACCTAGCAAAAGATCGTAAATGACCTTTCCTGTCTGCATTGTGTCTTTATTATCTTTTCAGTAGGCCAACTTTGTCTATCCAGCACCCACCATCTGCAGCAATCAGTATTCAGCGTCCTGCCCAGTCACGAGATGTCACAACAAGAATCACACTACCATCTCACCCTGCATTAGGGACGCCAAAACAGCAGCTTCATACAATGGCTCAGGTAAAACGAAAGGTGGAGAACCACCTGTGTACTTGGTTGGGTAAAACCAAAAGTGGGCAAAGTGTGCTGAGGGCCTGGCAGTACTGAAGGCATTGATTGTGTTTACCTGGGATGCAGTGGATAATGTTCTTATAACTGTGTTGTGGGGTTTCCCTCATAGAAAACGATCTTCAGTACTGGCACCCCAGTGGCTGCAGCCACAGTAGCACCTATTTTGGCAACCAACACCATTCCTTCAGCGACTACAGCCGGTAAGTCCATAACCCACTTCTTCCTTCTACCGGGGAAAGAGAAGGCAAGAGTGGTGGGTTAATTTTTCATTTCTCACCTTCAGTCAGAGAAAAACAATGGGCTAGAAAAATTATCTTAACTTTTTCCAAGAGTTTTCCCAGGTTTTTGAGAATCTGTAATGTGTGCAGAGAAGTTCTTGTTAAAGAATTTCCTTTTTTCTCCTATTTCAGGATCTGTGTCCCACACGCAGGCTCCCACCAGTACCATTGTTACCATGACAGTGCCCTCCCATTCCTCCCATGCTACTGCTGTGACCACCTCGAACATCCCCGTCGGTAAGTGGCATGCTGCCTTTGACAGAAGCTCACACGGAGTGCTGTAGTCCCTCTGACTAGGCCTTCATGGTGATGGCTAGTATTGATTTTTACAATTGTTGATTTCCTTTTTTTTTGCCTTGAGTCTCACTCTGTTGTCCAAGCTGGAGTGCAGTGGCGCGATCTCAGCTCACTGCAACCGCCACCTCCCGTATTCAAGCAATTCTCCTGCCCCAGCCTCCCAAGTAGCTGGGACTACAGGCATGTGCCACCATATCTGGCTAATTTTTTTGTATTTTTAGTAGAGACGGGGTTTCGCTATGTTGGCCAGATTGGTCTTGACCTCATGATCCACCTGCCTCGGCCTCCCAGAGTACTGGGATTACAGGCATGAGCCACTGTGCCCGGCCCAGTTGTTGATTTTCAAAGCAACACTGAATATGACTTGTAATATTATGTATCATGCAGACTTGGCATTGATGGTAGCGAAAAAAGAGTATAACAATTCTTGAGTACTTAAACTTTAGTTTTGACTGCTTTCTCATCAAACTATACCTTTTATAAAAATAAGCAATACTGACATAGACAAAAACAACAGGAAAAGCAAAGATCTGGAATGAGGAAAACTTGTAGACTTTGACAGATTGTTCAGGGAAAGTTCTCAGTGACACAACAGTGGGAAGAACACCAAAGCTCAGGTGTGTTCCCCAGGTTTTCATCTGAGTGCTGCCCTGCCACATCACGCCCATCCTAGAATTTCTTCTAGGCTTTCTTTATTCTCTAAGTATATGTATACTCTGAATTATTTTAAAAATCCCTGGAAAGTTTCTGGCAGTCCAACTTCAGTCATCGCGATCAGGGGTTTGCACACTTTCTATAAACATTTCAGGCTTTGCAGACCACATAGGTGTGTGTCGCCACTGCTCAACTCTGTGTCGTGAAAGTAGCCGCGGACAGTATGTAAACAGACCGTGCGCCGAGGAGACTCTGCTTATGGATGGAGAAATTTGATTTCTTTCTTTTTTTTTTTTTTTAAGAGATAAGATCTTGCTGTCATCCAGGCTTGAGTACAGTGGCATAGTCATAGCTTACTGTAACTGGGGCTCAAGCTATCCCCCCACCGCAGCTCCCCATTAGCTGGGACTACAGGTACCTGCCACCATACTCGGCTAATTTTTTTGTTTTTTTGAGATGGAGTCTCATTCTGTCGCCCAGGTTGGAGTGCAGTGGCATGATCTCCACTTACTGCAACCTCCGCCTCCCGGGTTCAAGCAATTCTCCTGTCTCAGCCTCCTGAGTAGCTGGGATTACAGGCGTGTGCCACCACGTCTGGCTAATTTTTGTATTTTCAGTAGAGACGGGGCTTCAGCATATTCGTCAGTCTGGTCTTGAACTCCTGACCTCATGATCTGCCTGTCTCGGCCTCCCAAAATTCTGGGATGACAGGTGTGAGCCACCATGCCTGGCCTCTGGCTAATTTTTAAAAATTTTTTGTAGACTGGGAGCAGTGGCTCACACCTGTCATCCCAGCACTTTGGGAGGCTGAGGCAGGGGGATCACTTGAGGTCAGGAGTTCGAGACCAGTCTGACCAACATGGTGAAACCCCATCTCTACTAAAAAAAATACAAAAAAAAAATTGGCTGGGTGTGGTGGCACATGCCTCTGTATTCCCAGCTACTTGGGAGGCTGAGGCAGGAGAATTGCTTGAACCTGGGAGGTGGAGGTCGCAGTGAGCTGAAATTGTGCCACTGCGCTCCAATCTGGGTGACAGAGCAAGACTCCGTCTCAAAAAAAAAAATTTTTTTTTTTTTTTTTTTTTTTTGTGGAAACAAGGTCTTGTGTTACCCAAGCTGCTCTCAAACTGCTGGCGTCAGGGAGTCCTTCCACCCTCAGCCTCTCAGGGTGCTGAGATTATAGGTGTGAGACACTGATCCTGGCCTGAGTTTCATATCGTTTTCATGAGTCACAAAATATTCTTTTGATCCTTTTGCCCTCATCCATTTAAAAGTGTTAACTCATTCTTAGCTCATGAGACAGCAGGCTGGATTGGCCTGTAAACCATAGGTTGCCAACACCTATGCAGGGGACTGATATCTCACTGCCATAGCATCCGAAGCAGGGACTGTGGCCTCCGAGGCAGAACACAGCTTTCATTAGCCTGCCAGCTACAGGCTTTATTAATAGTTTCTAGTTTTGTCTCTGCCTTGCTTTTATAGTGAAGAGCATGTCATCTTATTGTTCTCTACTCTCAAAAGATACATACAGGACAGCTGCCATAGCATCCACTTAGAGCTAAGACTGCTTTTTGTGAAGAGGACACCCTGACATACTGGTGACTGGACATAAAGTGTGGGTTCCGGCCTCTCTGAGCAAACTTTGAAGCCCATTTTCTGGAATAATGGCAGTACCCAGGAAGTCCCTACTCCTGTTGTAGGGTGACCGGCCTATACCAGCCCTTAAATGGGTGCTCAGCCCCACAGAAGTCCTTTAGCACAGAGGGTGCTGCTACTGGGTGTTTCCTGCATCGCTCCTCACTATGACTTGCCATTGGAGAGACCACATTTTTTCCATAACCTTCTGAATTTAGTTCATATTTGTCAAAAGAAGTTTGTTTTGTTTGTATCTGTTTAGCATTACCACACTTGTTGAAAAAGGTAGTAAATTGTCCATATTGCCATTTCAGCCCATTTCCTTCCTCTGCCCGCGTCGTCAGCTCTCCTGAGTGCTATCATGGCAAGCCAAGCCCTGAGACACTTAATGTTTATCAAGGCAGGAGCCTCACTCGGGTATTTGAATCTATGATCGAAAGACCGATAAGGAGGGGCCGTTGTGGCCCAGAGGGACTGTCTAGTTTCCTCCTGACGCTCCACCTTGAAGAATTTTTTTAGAGATTGGTTCTTGTGAATGTCCTGTCTTCCTAAGAGACCCCACTGTGGAAGCAGACTCACTAAAAAGTACCAGGAGACATAGATACGCGTGTTCCTACGTTCCATGGGGTTTATGGTCATTTTGTTTTTCTCTTTTATGCTAACCCCGATATTTCTGTATTATAATAGGATCTCTCCAGGAAAGGTAGCTCAGTTGAGAAGGGAAACCTGATAAAACCCTAGACCACTGATTTTCAAGTTGGGAAGTAGAACATACATATTAAAATCACCTAAGTGACTTTTTCCAAGTGAGCTTGCCCTCTCCAGGTGATATTAAATACAAATTCAGCTATTCTTATTAGGAATATGTTGGCTCAGAAAAAAAGCCTGCTAAATCACAAGTTTAAGGTTTTTGCCTCTATTCCAATAGAATACCATTCTTATTTTCTCCATGTTCTGGTGAACATATGATCATGTTCTCAGAATTATAGAAAGTGAAATCTGGTGATCACATTATTCAGAAAATAGGGATAAGTTTTGGAGATAATGTTATGACAGACTTAATGTTTTCTGTATTATATAGTTCCTTGGTTTTTATTTAATTATTGAGAATGTATGGCTTTTTTCTTTTTTTTTTTTTTGAGATGGAGTATCACTCTGTCGTGCAGGCTGGAGTGCAGTGGCATGATCTCAGCTCACTGCAACCTCCCAGGTTCAAGTGATTCTCCTGCCTCAGCCTTCTGAGTATCTGGGATCACAGGCATGCACCACCACGCCCGGCTGATTTTTGTCTTTTTAGTAGAAACAGGGTTTCACCATGTTGGCCAGGCTGGTCTCAAACTCCTGACCTCAGTTGGTCCGCCTGCCTTGGCCTCCCGAAGTGTTGGGATTACAGGCATGAGCCACTGCACCCAGCCTGTATGGCTTTTTAAATTAGAAAACAAGTAAAGATGTAAATGAATGGCTGAGTGGTGAGGTGTGTCTGGTTAACAACCACTGGTTAGCTACTCTGTCACATGGCAGCTTCATTCCTACTGGAAGCATCATTTTCTCCTACCTTTCATGGGGCTCAGTGATAAAACAAGGCTTAGTTGCCCCCTCCTCACCATCCCCACTGCTTACCTCCCTGATGGATAACCCTGTCATGCCAGCTTCTCTTTGCGTTGGCTAATAGATGCAATCTTGAGTGGTCAGATGGGCATTCCTGCTATCACCCTGCAGAAACTTCTCCATCTGCCTCCCGTGGGAGCTGGCTGGCATCGCAGTGGGTCTTTGTAGCTTGGCGTTGTTGTTAAATGCTCTGCATTTGGGGTAATGCGTTGGCATCCTCCTAGTCTAGTCTCTTTGTTAATGTGCCTGTCACTGGTGTAACTTGGGTTTTTACACAGATAGAAGCTGTCCCTCTGTATCTCTGAGATGGATCACGGCTTTTCTTTCTGAATGCCCAGGCATACTGTTAATAGATAGGGCTATAAAGAATAGTGTCAAGTTGTTCTAGTTCAGCTATACCTTCCAAACAAAATTGGATGCAAGTTTTAAAGGAGTACACATTTGGAGCCTCAGATTGAATTTGAAAACTCTGTGGTCATTGATTTTGATTTTGCTCTAAAGTTTTATATAAAATTGTAGGACATTCAAAGGACCTTAGAAATTATTAAGTGATCTAAAGAAGGGATCCTTATAGGTAAAGAAATAGACTTGGGAATTAAAGTGGTCTTCTCATTGCTAATTGGCTACATTTCATAATTATCTGTGGACCCAGAGTGGAATCTAAGGGTTTTTTTTTTTTTTTCCATTTTTTAATCCAAAATTGTGTGTGTTCATTTATTTATTTATTTTGAGACGGGGTCTCAGTCTGTGAGTGAGGCTGGAGTATAGTGGTGCAGTCATGGCTCACTGTAGCCTTGAACTCCTGAACTGAAGTTACCCTCCAGCCTCAGCCTCCCCCAGTGCTGAGATGACAGATGTGAGCCACCGCGCCTGGCCTGTTTACTTTTTAAGCAGTTTAATCCTTTCAAAAACAGGTCCATGTTGAGAGAAAAGAGCCTGGTCACTTCTGTCTTTGTTTAAGTATTAATGTTGAACCCTGCTTTAGTAACAGTAGGAATATGTCAGTGAATGTAGAATTGAAATAATTCTGTTGAACTTTGTACTTATTTTTCATTTTTCATTTTGATTAAAAGTCCAGGCTTTCATTGTTTGCTTTCCTAAGATTGCTGCTAGCCGAGAATGTTTTGGCATGCCAAAAAAAGGGTAGCGTGGTCATGGAATTGGCGTTTACTGTTTGCAGCCAAGGTGGTGCCCCAGCAGATCACACACACTTCTCCTCGGATCCAGCCGGACTACCCTGCCGAGAGGAGCAGCCTGATTCCCATCTCCGGACATCGGGCCTCTCCCAATCCTGTGGCCATGGAAACCCGAAGCGACAACAGGTAGGAGGCCACGTGTCAGCTCTTCTGCCTCACTGTGTCACTAATCGTTCTGCTTTATCAGCATGAAACAAAATGTCCCACAAATACGGCCTGTATGTATTACTCATGCTTTCAGATTTTCCCCCGAAAGTAACTCTTCGTATAATTCCTTTTTTATGTGCGATGTTTTTCAAGCCAGTCTGCTTTTGACGGATGTTTTCCTAGGATCCATTTTTTTTGGTTTTGTGTGTTTAATATTTTTTGGCCATTTTGAGAGTAAGGGCTGTAGCATTATGACCGTTTATCCATAAGTACCTGCATTTGTAGCACAGAAGAGTAAAGACGTTCTGTGAGGTCACCGCGGTACAGCTATCTGAACCGACGCCGAGCTCTCCCCTCTCTTTGACTCATGGGTGTTTCTGAAGAGTGTGGAGAGGCCGGTTGTTTTGGGGAGTTTGATGCTGTCACATTGTTTCCTCATGGTTACATTCAGGTTATACCAGGTAAGCAGTGTGTCCTTCCCATTGCATCAGAGAGCTCCTGCGGTCTGTTTTCCTCGTATTGGTCATGTTAACGTTCATTACTTAGTGAAGGTGATGTTTGCCAGTTTTTTTCTACTGGAAAGGCATGTTTTTCTCCTTCGTAAACAAGTAATCTATCTGGAAATGTCTGAGTGTAATTATCCTGTTCTCCAGTAAACATTCATTCAATAGTTGTAGATATATTATTAATTCCTGGCTGAATCCATTACTAATATGATAGTTGCAAAATAGTGAGTTTTTCTAACGCGTTGTCTATATACATTAGCTGGCATTCTGATGTAAAGAGACTTTCTCTTACCCACCCCCATTTATTTTTTATGTTGAGCATTTTACTGTTTTTTAATCGGCTCAGGCTTGTAGATTTGCTTTTATTCATTAGAATCTATTGCTGTCATCTATTTTGGTGCTCAGATGATCTCATTTGGTCCTTGGGGGTTCTTTCTACTTCTGTGGATTTCGCCACGTCCCCTCTGTTCTAGCCTTTCCTTCTTTTCCATGATGAGATATTCTAGATTCCTATTGAACTTTATCTGTCTGGCTCTGAAATCTGCTGTTTCTCCAAGGAGCCCTTTGTCATTTACAAACCAAGATCTGGGCATTAGCCCTGCATGTTGCTGTGGGTTGTCATTCTTCCAGGCCCTTTGAGCAGGCAGAGGTAGGAGGTATATAGTATTTTAAGAACATTTGAGTTCATACTGATACCTCTACTTCAACCCCATCACTTCCCCCATTCCATGTCTGTATCTGCCTCTCCCATAAAGTACCCTATACAGTGTACACAAAGTAATTTCAAAAGCAGATGATTGTTAAGTGTTCTAATTTGATCATTTGTGTCTAGGAGTGCTTACAGATTTTGATGCATTGATATGTCCATCCACCTTGTTGAATACTCCTATTAGCTCTCAATGTTTATAGATTCTCTAAATAATTCTGTAAATTAGCTCTAAATGTTTATAGATTTATAAATTTCCTATGTATATGTTTATTTTGCCTACAAATAAGGACAGTTTGAGGGGAAAGCAAGAGGGTCTTACCATTTTCATTTGTTTTTTTGTTTTGTTTTTGAGACAGGGTCTTGCTCTGTTGCCCAGGCTGGAGTGCAGTGGCACCATCGTAG